GATGCGGGGCTCGATCCCAGGACCCTGGGATCATGACCTGAGCCGAAGGCAGACGCTTAACGACTGAGCCACCCAGGCGCCCTTCACTGTTTTTTATTGGATCCAGAGTTGTGCAACTATCACCACAGTCACTTTTTGAACATTTTTGTCACTTCAAAAAGAATCCCTGTTTCCTTTAGCTATCACTGCCCCCCCCCAACCAGTTCTCAGCAACCATTAATCTACTGTCTCTACCAATTTGTCTGTTTTGAACATTTCATATAAATGGAGCCGTATGCTATATTTTGTGTTTGGCTTCTTTAACATCGTGTTTCAAGGTATATGCACATTCCTTTTCGTGGCTGAATAATAGTTCACTGTATGGTTAGACTACATTTTGTTTATGCGTTCATCACTTGATGGACATTTGGGTTATTTCCCAGCCTGCCTTAAATTTAAACTGTGCCTCCTAGTTTGCAAAATCATGTGCGTATATGAACCTACGATTCCCAGGAGGCATAAGGTTTTGCCCTCCCATTTGCGCCAGATCTTCCACCGTTCTCCAAAAGGGTTGTGTTGGAGATAAGAGATAAGAATATGACCACTGTGCATGGCTCTACTGAGTGTCATAGAAATAGAAAAACAAATAGCACCATAGTATTTTGTGGGTTTCTTCCCCTAGTCGGTATATTTCTTTTGTAGGCTTTTTTTTTTTCCCCATTCACATTTCTGCAAGGTGCTAGGAACAAAATACATTTGCCTACATAGCTTCTGAAAATAATGTATAGTTTGGATGGACAGCATTTGATGCTATTCATTCTTTATTTAAATTTGATTTATGGGCCGGTGATGGCAATGCTCTGGATTAAATGGAAAAACAGAAAAGTAAAGGGTTTTGTTTTTTTTTTTTTAGTAAAAGAGAATACTTTGAAATAGGACCAAAGCCTAAAGATGTTGGTAGACACAATGGCTGGATTACTAAAGTAATTCTAATTTTTATATTCATCAGGAACAAATTCCTCTTTTTTTCTTAGTCACCTGTTCATTCCTTAAGGTTCATGAAAACTAGGTATTTGTTTTTTCTTTTTTCTTCGTTTTCAACCACTTTACTGAGGCATCATTGACATACACGTATGCAATGAGATGAGTTGAACTTGAGTTTTCTAAAGTGGAGATTACAGGTATAAATTGAGTTGGACCAAAGTACTAATCATCATTTGCTCTGTTTGTAAGAAACATGTTCCCAGAGGCTCACTCCTGTCCTGCATTCTGGATGTATGTGCTGTCCTCGCCTACAAAGGCTTTTTCTTTTTAAAGGACTAAGGGCAGTGTGTGGGGAATTGTCAAAGCTGGTTCACAGGTCTTCACAAATAAGATATTTTTTCTGTAACACTTGACCTTAGTATTAATTACACATTCATGATGTTTTCGAAACTTTATCTATCATGCTTAGTTTTTATATAGCCTTTTGTTGTAGAATAATGTTTTATGTACCTAGTCTTTGTGTTTATTACTTGGACATATAATATTTCATTGAATTAAGGAACCATAATCTACTGATTTCTTTCTTTTTTTTTTTTTTAAAGATTTTATTTATTTGACAGAGAGAGAGATAGTGAGAGCAGGAACACAGGCAGGGGGAGTGGGAGAGGGAGAAGCAGGCTTTCCGCCAAGCAGGGAGCCCGATGTGGGGCTCCATCCCAGGACCCTGGGACCATGACCAGAGCCTAAGGCAGACGCTTAACGACTGAGCCATCCAGACGCCCCCTGATTCATTTCTTATTGCTAAACACTGCAAGTTGTTTCCAACATTTTGTTAGAAAAATGCTGATACAAACATCTTGACATACTGTTTATATTCTTTTGATTGTTTTCTTAGGATAGATTTCCAGGAGTCAGACTATTAGGTCAAAGGGTATGAACACTTTTATTACTGATAATTCTGCCAGATTGTTTGAAGGAAGAGGTGAACCAGTTCATAGTGATGTTAACTACACTGTACTGTTCTTGCTTTCTCTAGTCTTTTTGCTAGTATTTTTATTATTTTTCTTTTTGCTCTCCTTGCAAAAACAAAAAGGGCCTCTATTAGAGTACTCTATTTTGCATTTCTTTTCATTACCACAAAGTGGAAGTTTCCCCCCCACCCCAAAATGTTGGTTTACTTGTGTATATACTGCCCATGTTCCTACTAACACTTAAACATGTGAAGGGAGAGATCTACCAGCCCAGAGTCTATAACCTAAATGGCCTAAACCAGGGGTTGAT